TGAGACCCACCTGAGCAGGCCATCTTTGTTAGCTTCTAAATGGGTTGTGGTGCAGTTTGTTTAAAGTGTGAATATGATCTGATCGAATTCAGAAAACCTGAAATTTATTTAAAGATCCCTTAGTTTCAGTTTGCTGCTATTGTTATGCAACCATCAGTCATGCTCTAATGAACCACAACTAACAAACCCCAACTCTACAGTAGCTCTGATACATGTTATGAAATGGGCTTTGCAGTGTTTACTGTATTTGTTTGTGGTAGAGTTGGACGATGTCGGCCAATTTGGTACGGTAAATTAATTATTTATAAATAATTAATTCATTCATAATGAATTAATTATTGGTAGCCTACCGTTTCAACTATCTGACCCGCATGGTCTTCGTTTTACCCATAACCAAATCATAAAGATAGATAAAGTTACACACATATTACCACCTGTTAATCGCTTTTTTCGCAGGACTCTGGTATATGAATAGGCAGAGTGATCTGCGTCGTGATAATGGAGTCAACAAACCTGGTTGGTAATAAAAGGGGCACAACCAACAGGAACCAATCGACAGTATCTAAGGTTTTCACTAAAATTACCAAGTTCAAGCATGAAAGTGAAATATTGAATAAGTGTACTGACGCTCACACACATTACCTGACTCAAGAGTCATTAGATATAGACTAGATGAATTAAATATCACGTTTAACAACTAGAGTGAGACGCGATCCAGCAGTACATCCTTGATAAACTGTCCGATGTGCACTGCTCTCTAGGGTTTTGTGCTTAAAGCACCCGCTGACTGCTGGAGCTCAGAGTCAGACACGCGTATAGCCTACACTGCAGCACATGACAGAGTAGGGTATGCTGCTACAGTGGGGACCAGGCAGAAGATCACGATGGCAGCTCAGCATTGTGACGTATTGCCCATCGGCGATGGCATCATCTATAGACCCAACCCTATTAACTAGTCTACAGGCATGAAATAAATGGCTGATTTTAGTTCACATGTAGTTTTGTTTACAATTGCTGATTCACTTGCTAAAATGCCAGTGTAAAAGCAAGCCACACCAAATGAAAGCAAGCAAGCTAACAGTCTTGTCTTCGTTTCATGGTCATTCAGAGTATAACCCTCCAGATCTTCTCTACCCAAAATGATCAAGATTTGACGACTGTTTTTGTTTGTTGTCATAGGAGGCAAGCTAAAAAAAAACAAAGACACCAAAGACCACATCATCTAACATCAATTACTAGTGCAGCTCTTGAGGGCAGTAGAGTAAGGTTTACTTGACAGGTCTTATTACAAGAGCATCAACACAAAAAACCACAAATAAATCAGTCCCAGTAAGAATCTCATTATTGATCCACCTGTAATTGATTTTATATCAACCCCTAATGCAGTCCCTCTAAATCTGCAGTTGCACACTGACACAAGGAGATGCTCTGCACATTTTGAGAATGGAGACTCTGTTCTGCTGGAGCCAGAGTGGCATCAAAGCAAATGTTAACTGCCATAACTAAACAAATGCTCATGCTCTGCAAATGTCAGTGAAAATCTATGATGTTCCAGTAAAAATGCCTGGAAACCGAAGAGCTAAGAAAGATGGTACTCGTTATGGTCCAATTACAACTGTAGTGGGGACAAAATGGAATCTTTGATCTTTGTGAGCATGGTGTCCAGATAAACAAACCCACTGAGATTAACTTCCTTGTTATATACCAAAGAAAAAGAGATAAATCTGACCTTCAAAATAAGCTAAAAAAAATTTTAAACAGCAATATTGAGTGTTTTCCATCTGTCAGAAAAAAACAATACAATTGCTGATAAAAGACAAAAAAAAAAAAACAGCTGGGGAAAACAGCTTTGGAAGTACATAAAAAGCTTCTGTTGTTTGGGAATGATGGCTGTGTAAATTGAAAATGTGTTTAAAACAATGAAATGATGCACTATAGCCAACTACAAGAAATGGCCCATTTTCCCACTGACCCACCCCATTTTCAGTAAATATTGCACTTCTTGGCATTCAGTTATTTTACACAATGTTTGCTGTTACGGACACAAAAGGTGTGTCCTAAATTGCATACTTGTATTACTTACATGACAAAAAGTCAGATTAGAGAACTATCAGATTCTTCCACCAAAATTATCCTACACTAATTTCTTTTTTTTTTACTTGTTCAAACTACTTATTTAAAATAAGCTGAAACAACACAATTCTTTAGATTTCATTAGGAAAACTTATTTTTTATGTTCAATCCACATAAATTTGTTAAAAGTGTTAAGTTAACTTAATTGATTTGTGTTGGGATAACATAAATGAATTATGTGGAGCCCTGCATTTTTTTTTTTTTACAGTGTACATAAAATATTATGCCACATCTCAACCGTGAATGTGTTATACTCATGACAGGTAGTATGTGCTAGTTTGGTCATTTATTACAACAGTAAACCTACACACTACAGGATTGACTGTGAAAGTGCATAGCTTATAAGTGCATAGTGTGTCATTTGGAACACAATCAAACTATTTAAGTCATAAAAGCTCCATGTCATAATACTGTAAATGAGATTTCCAAACAAAATAGAATGAGTTCCCCATCACTAGAAGCAGAGTGTGCAAATTCCAGCATGTAATGTTAGCTTAAACATCCACAAAAAGTCAAATGCAAGTACAAATGCAAGAAATTAAAAACTATCTTATAATTTAAATGTTAACTCATTCTACTGCTTTTATAAAATTCATCATTTTGAAGTTATATGCCAAGGCATTATCCCTTTTTCATGTCTCAAATTGGGCATCTACACTGAAAAAATTATTTCTGCAAAATTGTTGTACACAGTTTAAATGGGCTGAATTTAAACAAATTAAATTTAGTACTGTTTAACTTAAATTATTTGTTTAAATTCAGCCCAAATAAATTGTTCACAACTACTTAAAATAAATTTGTAAATTCAATTACTCATCTTTTTTTCAGTCATTTTTCAGTGTAATTAAGTGTGAGTTTGTGTACATTTTAAACTATTATTTCAACACTTTCCAAATAATATTACGCAACTAATAATTATATTGTAATGAGAGTGAAACCTGGATGTACTATATTCTGATTATGGTCACTTGATCTAGCAGCATCAGCAGTGACGCTTCACTGTCATTCATAAATTCTCTTAAGGTGTCATGGGACAGTACAGTGTATATTGAGAAACTAATCAAAAGCAGTGCAGGCCATTTTGGCTACGCTTCTGAAATGATTTCAGACTTTTGTCATAATGTTTTTTTTTTTTCGTTTTTTTTTCTGTCTACTATGTTAAGAATGTGATTCTAGAATCAGCTATGGTTACGACCTTGCTAAATCATAAATTCCAAATGTTTGACATTCCTTTTTTTTTAATGCGCATCTGCTCTGATTTTGAATGATCCATTGGACATTTTATATTAAAAAAGGCCATCAATCATTAATAAAAAAATAAAAAAATGAAAAAGCTTGCTCTTCCTTTGAAACAACCTTTGACGTCACACAGGCTGTGTAGGCTAGTGGATATTAAGCAAATACCAAATAGCAATCTCACGTTCAGTCTGGCTCTGCTTTTTTGTGTAACATTTTTGTTGTGCTTTGCACCTAAAAAATATTTTCAATAGAAACAAAAATGCCAATGTTAGAAGTAGATTAAATAGGGGAAAAAAGGGCAGTAATATCATTAGGTAACTAAACAATCAAAATGCTCTTCAATCCTTCAACCTTCTGAGATCAATCTTTGAACATCAGTAAAACAGATTTTTAGAGAAACCAGTAACAAGTTTTGACATCACTATGGATGAGGAAAAATCCTGATCCTTGATTAGAATTCAGAGTGGCATTATAAAAGGTACCCGTTTTTTTTCTTAGCATCCACAGTAAAAACAAGCCACACATCCTAAACTGACCTCATCCGTAATGTCACTTAAAAAAAGTGTTTCCTAAACATAAATCCATACGTTAAATGGATGCATTCTGTAGAATCATGTTGATTGTCCAATATCATGAAAAATTACGAGGCTACTAATAAAAAGGGAAGCTTTCAAATGCCAAGCAGTGGTCAAGGACGTGCCCGTTGTCTGTCCCACGCATCACGAGAAAGACGGATGTGTTGCGCGCTGTGTTGCCATCAACGTCCAGCTCTCGTGTGGGCGACGCTGCTGGACGCGCGCCATAAACCTCTCACGAGGAGCTTTAAAGTTGAACCAGAAAGGACTTGATTTGTTTAGACATTTAATGATATTCATGATTCTTGGTTAAACTGCTTATGACAGTCATTCAAAATTATGCCTGTATAAATAGGCTAAGTTATTTGCGTAACTGTTCGTTTTAACAACGTAATAGCCTACCCAAGATGTCAAGCTAAAATCGACACCACGCGATTATCCTGCATTATATTTGTCAAGGGATTGGAAATGATGACAGAGAAGACTGGAGAGGGGTTCGTGCTGTAGTTTCCATTCAGTCTACATTTTGGTCTGTTCAGTGATGCCCAATACCTTACATAACTAGTAAAGGGAACCTCATAATCCGTGACTTATTTGTTGTTATTTAAATACATTTTATGTCATTTAATTTATAAACATAACTCGCTATGGCTTGCCCATTTGACATACTCAACTGAGTTGTTAGGCTGTATTTGATGGCAAACGGAGCATTCATTGAAATACAACAGCCGCACAAAATGAAAAATAGAAATAGAAATAAATAAATAAAAACCGAATTAGTCTACTGTTTTTTCCCTCCAAAGATTATTTTTAGTTATTAGGGATAATCAAAATGCTATAAATTAAATGCATATGAACACTGCAGAACATATAAAATGAACAAAAATCTAAAATATCCTACAGAATAAAGTTTTATTTTTTTTAAACTGAACTATAAAAGGTTACTACAACAAAACGTAAATTAACTGAAACATTTTTCACAACGCTTGAGCTGTAACAGCACGAATATCAAAGCTCTCACCATCAAAAGAATCATAATTCACAGTATCTTACCTGAAGTGCAAACAATGAGATTGGCTTGAAGAATAATAAATATTTCCCAGATTATATCCATGTTTTGTCTTCATTCCAAGTCCATTGCGCTCAGAAAAACGGGGATCAGTTGCAGATGAGTCCACCCAGTCTCTTTCCCACTGGACACCTTCCACAAGATCCTCTCCAAATCACACACATAGCACATTTATCTCGAGGACATAACGCCACATTTCAAACCGGCTGAAATCCAAACAAGACTACGTTCCGAAATAAAGGGGGTCTGGACTGATATCCTCAGTGCGCGCACTTTACGAAATGTTTCGCTGCGTCCCGCAAGCCTCCATAAAACGACTTAAGCGTTGTTTGCTGTTCCAGAACCGCTTTTGTTACGCCACGAAGATGCCTGTCTCCGTTGGTCTGACCCTGCGAAAAGAGAGAGAACACAACTGTGATTTGACTTGTTCTCGTAGTAGGGAAGGTCGGAGCTCTGCGCGAGGATAACAGTTTTAACTCAGCCAGGTTTAACGGGCAAGTCACGGGACCGCGCACTTGCTGTAAGGGGGCGTGCTTCGTCTTGTTCACGGCATGCCGTTACACTTAACAGCGAACACGAGCACGGATTCATCGGTTTCCTTGCTTTCATAAAGTGTAATCACGAAAGTTGTAAATATAAGATAACCTGATGTGTCTAAAACACATGCGAGTGTTGAGCGCTCATGTGTTGGAAGGAAATGTTTTGCAAACAAGTTTAAAGGGTGGCGAGTTGTGAAATAGGCTACTGCAGAGGAAATGTCAGTAAACAATCGACAAAACAGCGAAGAAGCGCTTACCTGTCACCATGCGACAGTTTAAGAACCTAAAGATTAAAAAACAACTGAAATCCCAGTCCAGTCATGCAAGAAATAGACAGATATTGAGATTTCCTGAAATCCCCGAGGTGAACTACTGCGCGCAACGGGTACGCGGACCACTGAAACAGAGTGCGCGTTCCCGCCATTAATTGCGTGATCACGTTACCTAGGCACAGGTGGACGGAGCACTGGTGTACGAGAGAGAGAGAGAGAGAGAGAGAGAGAGAGAGAGAGAGAGAGAGAGAGAGAGAGAGAGAGAGAGAGAGAGACGCAGTCGTATAGGTTGCCAATAAACAAGAATGCGCATTATAGGCTAATTGGTCGCGTAGTAGGCTTCCAAACGCTAAAGGTAGATATCTTGAAGCACACATTCATTAATTTGAGTAGCCCTGCTTTGGATATGAACGTGCTACTGTAGGAGGAGCTGAATGTAGCCATAAAGCTCAAATTCCTGCTAATGCCAAGCCAGATGGTAATTCTGCATCTAATACAATCAGAAATCTTATTCTCGCTTAGAAATTTATGAATTACACTCTCAGAAATAATCACATTTTCAGTAGATTTTTTTCAGTGTGTAGCCTACTTAAAGAGTATCTGCAGTTTATTATTAGAGTCAAAACATTTCAAGTTACCATTATTTATGAGTATATACAGTTATTTCATTTGTCATTCAGTGTAATGCAAAAATAAAACGACAATTCAATTTGACCTGTACTTTTTTAAAATAAACAAAAATAAAGGGTCATACACTTTTTTTATAGTTTTATGTGATACTAAAATATTGCTTTAAAATAATAATTACAAAACTAACAGCGTATACTCAATCCTCACATACACACAATAAAGCTATACCCTTTTTATTGTTTTAAAGCTCAAAGCCCACTTTTTGTGTTGCTCATTTAGTTATTCATTCATTCATTCTCTTTTCGGCTTAGTCTCTTTAATAATTAAAGGTCACCACAATAGAATGAACCGCCAACTTATCCAGCATATGTTTCACTTGGTGGATGCCCTTCCAGCCGCAACCCAACACTGAAAAACACCCATACACTCTTGAATTCACACACTACGGCAAATTTATCTTATTCAATTCACCTATACGCATGTTTTTGGACTGTAAGAGAAACCAGAGCACCTGGAGGAAACCCAGCGAACACTGGGAGAACATGCAAACTCCTCAGAGAAATGCCAACTGACCCAGCCGAGGCTCGAACCAGTGACCTTTTTGCTGTGAGGCCTCATTTAGTTATTCTCAAGTTCAAATGTAACTGAACGTTTTTGATGCAAACAGACATTCAAATGTGACAACTGTATCATTGCTCATCATTTAATGTGTTGATGTATTAGTTTCTAACATGTTCTCATGATATCATAAAAACATTCTCCTGTCAGTTTGCAGAACAATATCACAATGCAGTCGCTCATGCTGACTCACTGCTACCTTTTTGCTTTTTTATTGGTACAATACAGGGTATGACAGAGAGGGATGAGAACACTGGTGATTCATACATTTATAAAGAAGACTATCTACGTAAAAGCCATAGCAATAACTAGATGCAGTACACTTATCATTCGTAGTTTGGAATTTCAAGAATTACAAATGACTCCGCAAAAAATTTCAACATAAAATTTTATATCAATAAATGCACAAACCTAATGCTCAAAATATTTTAAATCATTTTTTTTTCTTCTTTTTTTAAAAACCATGCAGTATTTTATACTATATATTGTAAAAAGACTCAGATTATTCTTGACTCAACCTTTATTGAGGTCTGTTGTTTCTCAAATGTCAGGGATGTTTTGAAAAGGGGATGTGATCTATATTATGGATGTATTAATATTTAACCCTGTTGCCAATTGGGTCATTTTTAACCAGACATTTTAATTTGACATATTGTCCAATATACATAAACTATGAATCATCACTCTTCTACTTTTATTTGTGTCTCAGAAGAAAAATTTATCAGATGCATCAAGCACAATCATGCCCATAGCAGATGACCTACAAAGGATCTAGAGTGACTGAAAAAAGCAGAGTATGATTTGAGGAGTGGCCATCAGGGTATTGTGAAAGAGGTGGACTGTAAAATAAGAAGATCATGCATCCGTGCAGAGGTCAACAGCTGTTTGGCTGGAGGGGTTCTGCAGGGTTTCCAATCCTAGCATGCCGCTATCTACCTTTAGCTGTTCTGAGGTCCTGATCGATTGGAAGTCAACCTTAATTCACCCATCACCATCAAGTGTCACACATTAGAAGGTTGCTCCATAGCCGCGACACATTAGCCCTGCAAATGGAAAGCGACGTACACAAGCAGGTTTAATGCAGTCAGGGTTCAAAAACCAGCTCTGGCTTGTAACTCAGATCAGTGTTGTAAAGCAGTGCAGGTAGTGCCAATCAGCAGGGGTTCAATGCTCTACCGGTTCAATTGACTGCAATAATGCAAATGGAAGGGACTAATTATGATCATGCCAGCATAAACGCCAGAACGACTGGTCTGCTAATGGAAAAATCAAAACACGTTAGGACTGCCAAATGATTTGATTTCAACTTCAGCCACTCGGATGCAAATGGACACTGCATGACAGTTGCAGGACAATTGTAAACGGAGCACAAACTAGTCCTCAAAACAAAACTCATGCAGTATGGTTTATGTTACAATAAAATTCCTCTAAAAGACTTGGTATGAAATACACCAATTTGTGCATATTTGGCCGCCTCATTGGTAAATGCTGCTTTGATGAATCCACAAGGTGACTCACAAAAAGGAGTCATTAAAATTAGGAGGTGCTATAAAATGAAGCAGGAGCATATTCATAGAAAACTGCCAGTCAAAATGATTTTGAAAATTATTTAAATATATGTTAACATCACAATATGTTGTTAACATGATCTCTTCACGTTAAGGTATTTTGCATAATTTAATAGACAGTTCTTCCAAAAACTAGATTTTGGCCATGGTTTTAGTGTTTTTTTTTTTTTTTTGTGAAAACCAAAAAATATTTTGAAAAAGTTATTTTGTGACAAGTTGGGTTGGACCAAGAGCCATGGAAGCGGATTGAGAGTGGTGTTGCCGTTTTATTTATGGGAAGCTGAAGTCATCTGTGAAGGTCTGTCATTTATTTTTGATTTGTTTGTTTATTTGATGATTGAAGTTTGCGTCAATGTTCGCCAGTTTGCACATCCTTCTCACCTTGACTTTGAACATTGTTATGTTAGTGCCAAAACTTGGTTGGAAGGAGGGACACTGTATCAGAGAGCCCTTGCAGGTGGGGAAAATTACATGGGGAAGCATGCTGGGTGAGTGGATGAATTCACTTCCATGTGCAACAGAATGTAAGGGCAGTTGTCAGTTGTGACTGAGTCAACAAGTCATTGCTGTCCACCATAAAAGGGGGATCAGAATATAGGGGAGGTAAAAAGGTTGTCTAGAGTAGCCTGGCATACCAGGCACCAACAAAATGACGGTCTCTGAGCAGGTTTGGAACTAGATGAAAATTCTTTTCTTTTTTTTCACCTCTGTCCTCATGCTTCCGTCTCCTGATTCTTGGCTTATCTGGTCCTGAAAGGGTACTGTTCTTAGGACTTTAAATTCATCTACAATTAAATACACCTACTTGTCATTTTCAAGTAATAATAAATATCCAATAGACATATGTTTGTAGGTATGTTTCATTAGAGTTAATCCCTTCAGAACAGTGGACCTGCTGGACGGGAGTTGCTCATGTCTGTTCTACAAACCTCACTGAAAAAAGGGACGTTTGCTGTTTGTTCAAACTACTCATTTAAAATGAGCTGAAACCCAATTCTTGGTTATTTTTCTGTTCAATCCACTTAAATTTGTTAACTTAAAACTTAACTTAAAATGTGTTAACTTAATTTCTTTATGTTGTCCCAACACAAATCAATTGTGTGGAGCCCAGCATTTTTACAGTGCTGCAAGGGGTGATGGCGTATACAATACATGATGAGTGCAGTGACACAAGTAACATAATGTGCTACACCATCTTCAAGTCCCACAGAGAAGTTGCAGAAAGATAAACAGGAGTGACGATAGCGAAGGATGAGAATGGACCACGCCTGGGTGACTTTTTGATGCAGTTTTTAAAGTTTATGCGGTAGTGTTCTGTGATAGGCTCTCACTTACTTTTGTGCTGTTTGTTTATTTGCTTATTTAAGTTCGTGTTCATGGTTTGCCAGTTCCTACCTCCCTAGTCTCTGAATTTGGTTTGCCCAGGGGAAATTTACAGTTCAATTGAGTAATAAGCTGGTGCTGTGAGAGCTTGCAAGAGAGATTTGCTTACTTGTACCTGAGTATAAAGGGCGGCTGCCATTCATGAGTGAACAGA